GGCGCGGGAGCGAGGGCCAGGCTGCAGCGGGGCCCCGGGACTCCGGCCAGGAGGTGCCCGCCCACGGCCCTGCGGGTTTGCTCTCCTCGGCCTGGTGCTGCGTGGACAGGCTGCTGGAGAGGAGCGGCCAGCTTGCGGACGTGGAGCGAGAGGGCAGCCTCCGCGGTCTGGTCAGTGGGGGCTGGTCTGGAGGCCCCTGAGGGCTGTCGGGGGGGGGGTAGGCGGCCCCGGGCACCACACAGCGGGCGCTGGCATGGCCGGAGGGCTGCCCGGGCAGGGGCCACCTGAGCCCCGCGATGCGCTTCTGGCCGACCCAGCGTGGGCCCGGAGTGTGGTGGGGGTGGACAGGAGGCTGCAGGAGGGAGGTCAACCTAGGGGTCACTTAGAGACAGAGCGGGCCCAGCGGCCCCGGGGGCGCCCTCCCCTGCCCTTGGCAGGCCCCGCCCTCGCCCCCGCTGCCCTCAGCACCCCGCCCCGCCCCCTGCCCAGGCCCGCCCACTGCCCTGGCCGGGGTCACCCCAGGGCACGGCTGGCGAGCGCCCTTAAACCTGCCACGTAGCAGCACATCGCCCGCCCCAGCCTCCGCTTCTGCCTGGAGCGGACCCCAAGCTCACGTGGCGGGGCCTGACGGTCACGCTGCTTTCCAAAGCTGGACGACGCGCTCCTTGGCGGGCGTGGGCAGCGGGCAGCGGGCAGCGCAGCCAGGGTGGTGAGCACCGAGGACCCGCGCCCCGTGTCCTTCAGCCCGAGGCTCGGCCTCCCCTGCGCTTCCTGAGGCGTGATGGCCAGCCGGGGGGCAGGACGCCCGCGGGCGGCCCCGGGGCCCAGGTGAGTGGTCAGCACGCCAGAATGGAAAATGGAGGCCAGGCCGAGCCGCCTTGGGAGACGCTCTGGAGGGCCGCCGGGGCGCAGGCCGCAGCTCCGGTCCCGCCCGGTTCCCGGAGGCCGAGCCAGGAGGAGCCCGCCCAGCCAGCATGGCTCTGGGCCTCCTCCGTTCTCTCCTGCTTGGGGAGCTGAGGGCGCAGCGGGGGGAGCCGGCCCACGCGCCAGTGTGGAGCTCGCTGAAGCACCCCCAGAGCCCCCACCGGGCAGCCCGTGGCTTGCTCAGCGGCAGTGTGGTGCAGCGTGTGGTCGACGCGCAGTGGAGGGCGGGTCGCCAGCCTCAGCGCCGCGAAAGCCTGCGCTTGCAGGAGCGGCACCGGCACCGCCCTGCCCGGGGCCTGGGTGGCGCTGAGATGGAAGCGAGCGCTCAGCCCGGTCTGCAGGAGAAGCCTCCGCTGCCTCTAGGACCACGCGGGGGCCAGCCTGCACCCCCCGGGCGGCGGCTGTGCCCCCGAGCCTGGAGCAAGCTCAGCGGATGCAGCGGGTGCTGGTGGGTGCCCCGTGGGTGCCCGGGCCGTGTCCCGGGAGCTCCAGAGGGCGCGGCTGCCGGTTGAGGGCAGACCGGTGAGGTGCCGGGTGGCTGGGGGGCGGAGCTGAGGTCTCCGAGTCTGGGGGCCCTGGCGGTCCCCCCAGGCCAGAGAGGGCGCTTTCCCGTGAGTGTGGGCTGGGGGTGGGGCTGCAGGGCCCGGGGGGGCCCGAGGGCACCTGAGTCCCGGTTAGCAGGTGCCGGGGCAGAGCGCCGGGGGAGCTGGGCGGCCCTCGGGGTCCACGTCGGGGTCCGTCCCGGCGCCCCGTAGCAGGCCAGGACAGCAGGCCGGTACTGGCGCGAGGGCCGGCCGCCAGCCGCCGCTTCTGTGGCCCGCGG